TCTTAAAAGGGAGAATCACAAAAGCAGACAGAGGAAATGATGAAGGGACTAGACGAGCAGCATAAACTGGTAAGTCTATAGAGGGAGAGTCTGAAGGCCATGGAGGGAGAAACTCAAAAGCAGACAGAGGGAATGATAAAGGGAGTAGATGAGTAGCATAAACTAGTAAGTCAGTAGAGGGAGGGTCTCAAAAGCAGACAGAGGAAATGATGAAGGGTCTAGACGAGCAGCATAAACTAGTAAGTCTATAGAGGGAGAGGCTCAAAAGCAGACAGAGGAAATGATGAAGGGAGTAGATGAGCAACATAAACTAGTAAGTCAGTAGAGGGAGAGGCTCAAAAGCAGACAGAGGAAATGATAAAGGGACTAGAGCAATATAAGCTTGTAAATGATATGCTGTATAAACATGGATATCACAGCAAAATAGACCTCTGAATGTCTTAGATGTATAGATTATAGTGCCTGCAATCTAAAGAGATTCCATCATAAAAGTTCTCTTAATAGGGAGATTAACTTTTACCACAATGTGTGACAAGCTGAATTTATCTGGATAGGAAGTTAACCTTTCCCTCTTATTTTGTCACACAGAATAGTGATCTGAAGAAGCAGTTGACCAAACTCCAGATGGAACTAGAGGAGGCAGTGTCCACCCGAGACTCGGCCCTGGCCCGGGAGTCAGCCAGTCGGGAGGAGTGTAATCAGCAGGTCCAGATGGCCAGTGAAGTATGGAGTGTACTCTGTATATTGTTTTCTGTCCTAATTACGGGGTCATCTCTGTCTGTAGTTTATTTTACAGCATGTACATGTTTACTTAGAGTATTAGGAATTTGTAAAGAAATAAAAGATTTTGACAAATAAATTGATATATGGCAAAAGTTATCATACTATTCTGATCTTACTTCTGTAGGCTAAGGACAAATACCAAAGAGAGCTGATGCTTCATGCTGCAGATGTGGAGGCGCTGGCCGCTGTCAAGAAGCAGGTCAGAAATCAGAGTAAAGCCTGACATGTATATAACAACATCTGACATTGACATCACTGTCAGAATACTGACTGTGCAGTAGGTTGTATTTTATAAGCTGGTCTTGACAGAATGCCCACTATGGCTTATACCTGTTCACACCCAGTGGTGGTAGCAATCTGTGACAGTTTTCTTTATACTGGCTGTACATGTAGCATACACATGTAAACAGATGATATTTATGATGACATTGACAGCAGAATCAAGATTGTTGGTTGTCTTTTTCAGTAGACTAGTTTTATGACTGTGATTGTATTTGTGAGCTTTTATGCACATTGTATGGAACATGAAATGAATGGTATTTTTTTCAAAATATGCTTTTCAGCTTGAAGATTTCAATTCTAAGTTGGCAATTGAACAAGAAATCAGAATAAAAGCAGAAAAAGACTTGGAAGAAGGAAAGGTAGGTTTTATGTTATGCTCTAGATCTATGTTGCTATATAGAACTGAATAGTCTGCAGAATAGTTAACAGATGGATACCCGAGTTTTTGTAATGTTTTCTGTTTTAGACCTCGTGGTTGGAGCAGGAGAGGATCCTGAAGGAGGAGTGTGAGAGGCTGGAGAAGAGGAGTGAAGAACTCTCCAGCCAGAACGACATCCTACACCAACAGATGGAGAAGGTGAGCGGATACTTAATTACACTAGATCATAGTCACAGAGAAAATTATTAATTAAAAAACTGAGATTTTCAACTAAATTTAATGCTACTGTGGATACACGAATTAAAAACTGGTATCAATATAACTCTGAAACAATTGTACAATATAAAACAATGATTTCTTTCTGACTGTAGATGAGCAGTGACGTATTGTCCATACAGAAAGCGGTCACTCGGTCCGGATCACCTCAGAAACTGGCCGACCTATCGTTTGATGAGGACACAGCTCGGTCCACGGAACAACTGCAGGAAGTCATCAGGTACCTAACAGTGATAACAATTCCTCTGTTGATAGTTTAACTCATTCATAGAATTGATACCTTTGTTGTTATAGGTGCTAAAACAAGAAAATAATTTATTTTGTAGATTCTTACGGAAAGAGAAAGAGATTGCCCAATCCAAGTTAGAGATAGTTAAGACTGAGTGTAATAACGTCAAGTATAGGTACGAGACACAAAAGAAGGAACTGGAGGACGTGAGAAAGGCACTTACAGAGCAACAGATAAAAGCACAGGTATAATTCTATGTACATGTACATTTGCTTAAGATATATCTATTACTGCGAAATCACATATTTTCGTGGGGGGTTAATTTTTGTTGTTTTCGAGGTGTGAAGAGATCCACAAATTCATGTTCATCACGAATTGTAAAATGTGACATATATAACTACTCAACAATTCTATATACACGAAATCAAATCCCCACGAACCAGGAGTTTTTTCTCAAACCACGAACATTTGACTCCACAAAAATAAGTGATTTTACAGTATTTTGTTACCAAAACAGAGCAGCAAATTAAAGCCAAGCAACAGTTCAATTTTGAAAGATAAATGTATTTTTATGTTACCAACTACAGAGATAATATAATGGATTTTTGTAAATTTATAATTTAACTGTTGGTGTTTGATAGGCCAATGTCCAGACGGCCTCCCAGCATGCTGATCTGATGAGGAAAGTGGAGAACTTGAACATTCTGACGGACAGTAACAAACTTCTGAGGGAGGATAAAAACCGCCTGGAGCAGCTCGTGCAGGAGCTCGAGGCTAAGGTAAAGCTTCTGCTTACTGTAGGTTATTGGCTTTTTCTAGATACTGTAAATCGCTTTTTATTTTGCGAAGACTTTATTTTCAAGTAATCATGCGAGACAGTGTGCTCCGAAAATTTAATTCTCGTGTATAATAGTATTCCTGAGGATAACCACAATTCGTGAAAATTTTGTCTTGCTTATCAAGAATCAATGTCTATCTCGCGAAAATAAGGTGTCGTGAAAATTTTGTGATTTACAGTATCATACAGGGGGTTTATTTGCTATGTATATTACTTTTTCTGTGGATAAAGAAATTGAATGGAGACCAATTTTCTATCATAGGTGTCCAACCTTGAGACCAGTGTAAACCCCCTACAAGCCTCCATCCGGGACCTGACAGCTGAAAAGGAGGCTCTGATGATCGAGAGGAATACTCTGAAGAGCGAGGTGGACCGGTGGAAGAGTCGGGCTAATCACCTGATAGAGCAGGCCAACAGGACAGATCCAGATGAGCATAGGAAGATTCTGTAAGGATTATACAAGGATGATGTTATATTGTTTTTGCACAATCTCAGATTTATGAAGATGGGTTCATATTCACTTATCTTTGCAAAGGCTAAAAAAATTTTCATGGTTATTTGGAATATTTATAACTTCCCTTTGAAGGTGATAGATTTATGTATTGTTTTACCAGGTTTTGCCTCTTTGTTCTTTTCATTACGACTGTATTTCAAATATAAGACTGCATAACATAAATGCTAAACACTGACATTCTCTTTAACAGCCTAGAAAGAGATGCTTTGAAATTAAGAGTGAAACAACTTATAGATGAATCTAGCAGATGCAGGTGAGTACAACTTAATCTGTAAACATTGTTCAGTTTTTTTCTTCTTCACTCTGAATGGGTCTGGTTTCTGTTTTGGGTTTTATATTTGTTTCATTGTTGATTTTAATCACACATTTTCGTTCAGATATTTACACATTTACTTTTTATGCATGTGAGTTATTTAACTTTTCTGAACAGCCAAGAGAAGGAGAAACTGACTCGAGATCTTAAAACAGCTAACGAGGAGCAGTTACGAATCAAGTATGTAAACATATGTACAGGATACCCATGGTGATAAATCAATTATGTAAAAATATGTATAAGATATCCATGGTGATAATTCAAGTATGTAAGTAAATAAGGTAGTCAAAATTATGAGTTTATTAATTCATGTAAGGTAGCCATTGTTACTAGTCAAGTATGTAAACATATGTGTAAGATAGTTGTAATTATGAGATAAGTTTGTCAACATACACAAGATAATTGTAGTTGTGAGTCAAGTATGTAAACAAAATATACGGCAAAATATACAAAGGGTAGATGCCTTATCAATAGCACGTCAGGTTTTGACACGATCCCTCACTTCAAAATTTTATTTGAATCTTTTATTTGTGATCCCTATTATTGCCCTAATAAAATGAATGATAAAGAGTGATAATATCGTTAAAAGCCAGAAAAAGGCTCGTATATGTCAAAGAAGTGTCTTTTTTTATCAAGGAACCTGTATTGGCTACTTGAAGACAGATGTTAACCCCCCCCCCCCCCCCCCCCTCTTTAAAATGGTTTTCTGAGAAAGTAAAGCCTAGCAGTTAAGTTGTTGTTATAAGATTCCTTTAACATCTTCAATAATGCTTTCTTATATTATACTACGTATGCCTACCTAGTAATGTAGGTGTAACTTACCATGGATCAACAATGAATCTACAAGTAGGCCCCTAGCCTTGCCTAACACGTTTTGTACTGCCATCGCCCAAAGAGTTCATTTTCATGATCCCATGGTCCTTACAACTTTCATTCAGAAGTTTGTTTGATGTAAAGTGCCAGCAATTGTCACATAATGTTTTCAAAGACACAGATAGCAAAAATTCTAAATTTTGAACAAGATCTACTTTCTTTCGAGGAATGTCAACATCAATGGTGCTATGTCATCAAGTTGTATGTCATCAATTTGAATTTAGCAATCATTCATGTAGTTTCGCAGGGGAAGTCTCAAAGTTTTGTTAAAACGAAAGTCGTATGAGATAAATAGAACATCTATAATTGTGTGATTTGAAATTGGCTTTATCCAACTCGTTGAAATGGTGTATATTCGCTTGGCAAGCCTCACGAATATATACACCATTTCAACTCGTTGGATAAAGCCAATATCAAATCACACAATATACATGTACATGTAGATATCCTCTATGTATATTGAAAACCATGCATATATCGAAGTGGAAAGTACCAACCTTATAGAACAAAGTGTTTCACTTGATTCCCTTATTTACTTGACATTTGCAATTATTATATAACTAGAACACTGCTTTCCAAAAAGTTATGTTCTTTTGAATTTTTTCCTTTGTTTTGTACAGGAAATCACTACAAGACGTAACAAACAGCAAACAGGAACTACTCAACAGGATTGCCAATCTACAGTGAGTGTCTCATTACTATCTCATTAGTATCTCATTACTATCTCATTAGTATCTCGTACTCTCATAAAGGCCAATCTACAGTGAGTATCTCATTACTATCTCTTTAGTATCTCATTATGTCTCATTAGTATCTCGTACTCTCATAAAGGCCAATCTACAATTTGAATTTTTTCTAAGGTGATTCTTTTTATACCCCCCGCAAACGAAGTTTGGGGGGGGTATATAGGAATCACCTTGTCCGTCTGTCCGTCTGTCTGTGCAATCATGTCCGGTCCATATCTTTCTTACAGAGGGACATTAGAATCTACTACTCCACATTAAGATTGCTCATAACCTAAGGGTGTGTCATGACCTTGACCCAAGGTCATTTGGGGAAGTTCAAGGTCACTGGAAGAAAAATTTCATAATTCGTGTCCGGTCCATATCTTTCTTATGGATAAACTTGGTAGGTTCTTATTTCACACAAAGATTGCCCATGACCCAAGGGTGTGTCATGACCTTGACCCAAGGTCATTTGGGGAAGTTCAAGGTCACTGGGAGAAAAATTTCAAAATTCATGTTTGACACATATCTTTTATGGATAAGCTTGGTAGGTTCTCATTTCACACAAAGATTGCCCATGACCCAAGGGTGTGTCATGACCTTGACCCAAGGTCATTTGGGGAAGTTCAAGGTCACTGGAAGAAAAATTTCATAATTCGTGTCCGGTCTATATCTTTCTTATGGATAAACTTGGTAGGTTTTCATTTCACATAAAGATTGCCCATGACCCAAGGGTGTGTCATGACCTTGACCCAAGGTCATTTGGGGAAGTTCAAGGTCAATGGTAGAAAAATTTCATAATTCGTGTCCGGTCCATATCTTTCTTAAGGATAAACTTGGTAGGTTTTCATTTCATACAAAGATTACCCATGACCCAAGGGTGTGTCATGACCTTGACCCAAGGTCATGTGGGGAAGTTCAAGGTCACTGGAAGAAAAATTTAATAATTTGTGTCCGGTCCATATTTTTCTTATTGATAAACTTGGTAGGTTCTTATTTCACTCAAAGATTGCCCATGACCCAAGGGTGTGTCATGACCTTGACCCAAGGTCATTTGGGGAAGTTCAAGGTCACTGGAAGAAAAATTTTATAATTCGTGTTTCATACATATCTTTATTATACAAAAACTTACTTCTGAAAAACCCAGCGGGGGGTAATTTGTCCCGATTGGACAGTTCTAGTTAAATACATGTATGATACAGGATTAACAGTCGACAGCTACACTGTACATGAAGTATGATATGAATTTTTCCCATTTGATTTTATAAGGTTTTTAGGTCACCTGAGTAAACTCAGGTGACCTATTGCTATCTGTTTTCGTCCGTCGTCGTTCATCGTGCGTCGTTCGTCGTGCGTTAACATTTGAACATTTTCAGCTTCTTCTCTGCAACCACTGAACCAATTTCAACCAAATTTGACACAAAGCATTTATGGGTAAAGGGGAACAAAAATTGTGAATTTCATGATCCCTACCCCCCTGGGGCCTGAGGGGTGGGGCCAAAACCACTAAAAATAATGCAATCTTTAAAAATCTTCTTCTTTACTCCTGGACATCAAGCAGTCAAACTGTTTGCATGATTGTAATCAGCAATGAGTCCTCTACCAAAATTGTGAAATTCATGGCCCTGGGGTCAGGGGTTCTAGTGCTAGGGCGGGGCTAAATAAGTAGGTAGTGAAAATGCATTATTTCTTTGAAAATCTTCTTCTCTGCTCCTGGGTATTAAATAAACCAACTAAGTACATAGTTATGATGAGCAAGAGTGCCTCTACCAAAATTGTGAATTTTATGGCCCCAGGGTCAGGGGTTCTGGTGTTAGGACGAGGCTCTATTGATTATATAGTGAAAATACATGAATTCTTTGAAAATCTTCTTCTCTGCTCCTGGGTATTAAGTAAACTAACTAAGTACATAGTTATGATAAGCAAGAGTGCCTCTACCAAAATTGTGAATTTTATGGCCCCAGGGTCAGGGGTTCTTGTTTTAGGGTGGGGCTCTAATGATTATATAGTGAAATGCATGAATTCTTTGAACATCTTATCCTTTGCTCCTGGTTAATATGCTAATGATCTAATTACATATTTAAGGCCAGGATTTATTTTATTTTCAGTTTTACAAGCCCTCCGCTCAAGGTTTTGAATTTTTAGAAAAAAATAAAACAATTTTTTTCTTTCCGATGTCAAATTTGAGTCGGGATCGAGATTTCAAATTTACGAACTCGCACTTCCGGTTTTACTATGAAACGGCGGGTAAATAAAGCTAGATCTGAGAAGATACTGATAGCTTGGTTTAGTGTAAAATTCATCGATAAGAGTGCCATTCAAAACGTTTCACCCGTTCAAAGGACAAATAAAATGCTGACGACTTTGTTGCACAATGACATGCTGGTGAGATAATTTTGTATTCGTTTCAAAAGCAACTGTAAATTATTTTCCTCCCCCAGGTTTTAAACTGCCCGTGGTAGCTATTGCATATTGCCAGGGACATTGTTTAGGTCTCTGTTATAGCTTACAGTCTAAGCATCATTCTTCAGAAAAGGGTTGCTTATGCATCAGATGTAATGAATAAAACTATTGGAGAAGTGAAGTCCATTTGAGGAAGAAATAAACAATAACCTGAAGTGAAGAAATAAAAAAAAAAATTCAACTATTAAAAGGCAAGAATATACACATATATACAGGCATGTAGTATCATTTGTATCAGCCAGAAAAATTATTTTACACTTAATTGAAAAAATGTTGACCCTACTCCCCAATACTTCCTGTCTGTTTTATGATAGGAATTATAATTTTAGGCATCAAGTAAATTTTAGAACAATGTCTACACATTCACCTAACACATATTAAAAAAATGAAGATATATTGAAAGACTTTTAAAGAATTGATTTTTTAAAATATATTTTGATCAACATCACAAAATTTATATAACTGGCCCAAACTGGCAGATGATGAAATAAGCAATTAAATGTTCTACTTTCCTATTTGTAAGCATTGTGTCCAGTGGTAAGGAGCCTATTAGGATAGCATAAAAAAAGAATGTACAAATGTTAACAATTGATTTATCAAAAAAATTTATTTCCTTTTCCTTCGGGACTTTTTTATTCTCATGTTCATAACTAAACCTAAACATAAAAAAAATGCTGGCCTTATAATGAAGAAAGGGGCCTCTTTCAAAATAGATAATTTCAGGGCTGCTGGGTCAGGGGTACCAAGGGGGTACTTTGACTAAAAATAAATTAATGCTTTGAAATCTGCCCTTTGATAAGCAATGGTGCCTCTTTCAAAATTTGTGAATTTCATGGCTTTTGGCTTAAAACACGAACCAAATACAATCGCTGGAAAGTTGTTACATGAGACCCAGGTGACCTATAAGGCCCGTGGGCCTCTTGTTGATTAGCATGATTTATAGCATACAATATACTCTGAAGACTTATTTTATGTTTGGTATATATATGTATTAAATTCTTGTCAGGAGCTTTATACAGTGGACCCTCATTTATCCGGACGGTTTGGTTCCCAGTCAATTTGTCCGGATATGTAAAGCATCCGGATATCTGAATCACCAGTTAAACAAGACAAAATAACATTTAAAAATTTTGTTCCGATGAAAAATAGTTCGGATAGTGAAGCATCCGGATATCTGGGGTCCGGATATCTGAGGGTCCACTGTATACTGATTGGTGGTGAACATTTCTGTATGCATACTTGTACATACATTTATATAACTCCTGGCAATTTTAATTGCAGAAAAGAACTCAGTCAATCACAAACTATTGCCAGCTCAAAAGAGTAAGTACTACCACCTACCAGTACATACATGTAGTAAACTTCTCTGTGGTATTTTCCCAGATAGAAAAAGATTCACAAGCTTTAAATACTCCAGATCAGATAAACCTTAACCAGTTTTTTTTTCAACATAATAAAAGATAAAAACATATGCAACATATTTTTTTTGTTCAGTTTGATGACATTATAGCAATTGAAGTGATAACAACTACTTATATACATTGATTGCAACATGAATATGTACATTTATCCTACAACTACCCCTTGCATTGACCTAATAAAGGTAGCCTAATAAACTAAAGCTTTATTTGGTCAATGTCCTAAAAAAGCTTAGTGCATGTATTCCGACATTCTAAAAGCATTATATTTTCATTACACGTTTTCTGCATATAAAGTGAATGGAAATCTATTGCATTCAAAACACCATAACACAGACAGGTTGCCAAGAGGTTAAAGCATGCGTTTTAGTTTGAGGTCATGATCGGCGAACGCAGAGGAATTGCAAAGTCATAAGCAAAAATCAAAAGTCAAGCTCACATTGACCAGAAGCTGTTACATTGGATCTTCTATCAACTGTAGCTTACACAAAGAGTAATACATAGGTTTTTAAATATTAAACACATTTGCAGTCAAGGTAGAAAGTTAAAAAATGTAAATATACAGTAAGCAATGTATCTTTTTTTTTTTGAAAGAGATAGTCTCATAACTGCAATGGTCTGTGCAAACAAATTTTGATAAGTGCTGACACATGTTACTCAATTTGTTTGCACATAATGTTGCAGTTATGAGACTATCTCTTTCAAAAAATAATGATGTAAGTGACGTCACATATATTGCAATGTTTTCGCTATGGCATCTTAGTTTTCAATGCAGAGATGTGTCTAATTCAGGTTTAAAATAGTTCATTTTGGAGGTCACATGTAAATATATTTTGCATGATAAACAAAATACATGGTCATTATCTTGAAATATAAGCGATATTTGGGCTCGGGTCGCAAATGTAATGGAGGGTTCGGCAAGCCTCACTCTCTATCACGTTTTCTTACCCTCGCCCAAATATCGCAGCACATTCGCTTATATTTCAAGACAGGTACCATGTATTTTATATATACTTATAGCAAGAGTGTAATAAAATGTTATTTATTTACCATAATTTTACAGAAAGGAGATTTTCCAGAGTAGAAATATTTTGGCTGAAAAAGAGTAAGTCAAGTGTGCAGTAATAATGTCAGTAACAGTAAGAAAGAGTAAGTCAGATTTACAGTACCGGGTACTATTATGATAATAAAGTCACACTAATGATGTCAGTAACAGTAAGAAATTTTGCATCACTTTTTCGCAAAAAAAAATGTACATGTATATTTCTTTCATGAAAGTCTACTTATTATTACATGTGCATTTTTGTTTTACATTTAGAAATGAAATTACCCAGACTAGAAACAAAGTATCTGAACTTGAGTAAGTACTATGTACCGTCATTCAGATTGTTTAGTACTGTAGATGCACAGGGGCCTGTAACATACTGTTTTTGATTTTACGTAATCACTATATATATACATACTGTTTTTGATTTTACGTAATCACTATATACAAAAAAGGAAAGGGAAACAACCTCAGTCCGAATTTACACAGGGTCCATCTCGGAAATATTTCGTATTTCATAGAAAAAAGAATGTAGCCAATTAAATTATAACTAGAAATCATACTACACTAAATATTCTTTAGTAAAACAGAAACCTCGTTACTTTTTATAGCATTTAAGTTGAGTTATACTAACTCGATATCCCGTTGTGCCAGTCGATGTACTTTAAGTCGTCCACTAAAAGGAGGCAAAATTCGCACATTTTCTCCAGTTTTGAAGTCTTTCCGGAGAAGGAAAACACAAAGTAAAGATCCAGCGTTCACGAAAATCATCTTTTTCTTTTGTTAATTGCAAATAAAAGGTACAACATCTCCGATTTGAATAAATACGGTAGCTTTTTTTGTTCACAGAGAGGCTCGAGCCCAGAACAGACGACATTTTGGAATAACGCATGATTGGTAAAAGGCGGAGCGTGATTGGTCAGATTTGTTCTAGAAAAGCACCATTGACCAATCACATCTCGCGTTAAATATTGGATGCAATGTTTAGCGAATTTAGTGGATGACTTAAACTACATCAATTGCATGACAGGATATCGGATCTGCAAAACACGACTTACACGATTCTTAAATGACCGCGATGGTATTTTTATTAAAGAGTGATTATTACTGAATGATCCCAGACGTTATTTCACTAACTGCAAGGTATTTTATTGAAAACACGAGTCATTTCCGAGATAGACCCTGTGTAAATTCGAGCTGACGTTGTTTCCCTTTCTCTTTTTGTATATATATAGTGATTACGTAAAATCAAAAACAGTATGTTACAGGCCCCTGTGTGTAGATGTAATGCACTTCTTTGACTAAAATATCTAGAAGGAAATTTTGTCGTATCTCAATTTTACCCAAAACGTACAAAAAAAGTAATTTTGTCTTTCTCTCTGTTGTTCAGAGGGGAGATTCAAGGATTCAAAGCCCAAATTGAAGAGAAGGTGAAAGACATTGAGGAAAAAACTAAAACCATCAACCAGGTAAAATAACAATTCTTCCTCTGACTACAAAAAACTGACAACTGTACAATATAGTCTGTTTGTTTGCCATTTTTGTCCATGAAAGCAGTATTTCATTAGCCAGCATACTGTTTATGTTGTAATGGTTTAAAATGAAAATTAACAGGTACAACAGAGGTGACAAAATACAGATATTATTAGCTCACCTGAGCCTAAGGCTCAAGTGAGCTTTTCTGATCAAAATTTGTCCGTCGTCTGTCGTCGTTGTTGTTGTCGTTGTCGTTGTCATCGTCGTTAACTTTTCACATTTTCATCTTCTCCTCAAGAACCACTGGGCCAATTTCAACCAAACTTGGCACAAAGTATCCTTGGGTGAAGGGAATTCAAGTTTGTTCAAATGAAGGGCCATGCCCTTTTCCAAGGGGAGATAATCATGAATTTGTTAAAAATTAATGGCATTTTTTAAAAATCTTCTTCTCCAGAACCGCTGGGCTAGGAAACATGAAACTCATGTGAAAGCATCCTCAGGTAGTGTAGATTCAAGTTTGTTCAAATCATGACCCCCGGGGCAAGGGTGGGGCCAAAATGGCCGACCCAAGTTTTACATAGGAATATATAGGAAAAATCTTTAAAAATCTTCTACTCCAGAACCACTGGGCCTGGAAAGATGTAACTCATGTGGAATCATCCTCAGGTAGAGCAGATTCAAGTTTGTTCAAATTATGACCCCTGGGGCAAAGGTGGGGCCAAAATGGCCTAACCAAGTTTTACATAGGAATATATAGGAAAAATCTTTAAAAATCTTCTTCTCCAGAACCACTGGACCAGGAAAGATGAAACTCATGTTGAATCATCCTCAGGTAGTGTAGATTCAAGTTTGTTCAAATCATGACCCCCGGGGCAAGGGTGGGGCCAAAATGGCCGACCCAAGTTTTACATATGAATATATAGGAAAAATCTTTAAAAATCTTCTTCTCCAGAACCACTGGACCAGGAAAGATGAAACTCATGTTGAATCATCCTCAGGTAGTGTAGATTCAAGTTTGTTCAAATCATGACCCCCGGGGCAAGGGTGGGGCCAAAATGGCCGACCCAAGTTTTACATAGGAATATATAGGAAAAATCTTTAAAAATCTTCTTCTCAAGAACCACTGGGCCAGGAAAGATGAAACTCATGTGGAATCATCCTCAGGTAGTGTAGATTCAAGTTTGTTCTAATGACCCCCTGGGCTAGGGTGGGGCCAAAATGGCCGACCCAAGTGTTACATAGGGATATATAGGGAAACCTTTTAAAATCTTCTTTTCAAGTACTTCAAAGCTATGATTAGTGATATTTATATGGAATCATCCTCAGGTAGTGTAGATTCTAGTTTGTTCAAATGTTGAACGCCTGGAGGGGGGGGTGGAGTAAATTCAAGCACGATGTGCTCAGGTGAGCGCTGTGGCCCCTGGGCCTCTTGTTAGTAGTTGTGATGGTTGATTTTTTCGTGCTATCCGCATCCACATTGTCGAAAATTTCTTTCAATTCTTGTTTATTGAGAGTGGCAAAGCGATTACTCGGATTAGCCATCATTTCCTCAGGCTCAGTTGCAAACAACAATAGTTAGGCGAACGCATTATCAGAGCTAAACAGTGATTGGCCGAAGAAACACGTGATATCCAATCAAATCAATGCTAACTTGCAGACAGTTTAGGAATCTATTTTAAGTATAGTAGGGTTTATAAATTTTCTATTTTTAGTATAGTAGGGTTTATAAATTTTATTTTAGGAAACATCTGGTTTATAAGTGTTTTATAGCAGAACCACGTGGTATTAATCGACTAATCATAGGTTTTGAATAATATGAAATTATAATAAATATTCATATTAAATCTTAATATTAAAATATTTACATGGAAACTCTTCTTGTTTCTTAGCTGAGGAAGATCGGGCGAAAATACAAGGAGCAGGCAGAATCACTAACCAAAGAGATAGAGGAACTTAAAGCTAAGACAGCAGCAGAACAGGCTAGCCAGCCCACCCAGGAGGAAGCCACTCCGAGTCAGGTGGAGGCCAACCAGCAGGTGGCGTCCCTCAGGGATCAGCTGACACAAGCTGAACAGGAGAAGGAGGAGCTAAAACAGAAACTAGAGGTTCAGAGCGGGGAGTATGGAGGGACAAAGATGCAGCTCAGTCAGGCGCAACAGGTGGGTTCACAAGCACAAAGATGTTGACTGTAAAATAACAGGTACAACAGAGGTGATATAGGAATGGAGAGATGGTGATACTGTTTACAGGGTTATTTTTGCCCCTTGTTATTATTGTCCTTTTACACATGCACACAATTTTGCTCCATTATAATTTTACCCAATAATAGTTTTCTTAAAGATATTATATTGTTCTCTTTGCATTTTCCTAGTTTTATGTTCACCCACCTATGAGTAATGTGAAGATAATAAGTTTTGACAGAAGTTGCAGTTTGTTCTTTGTATTTGATGATTAATTGTGTTTGTAGAGTACAGCTCTGAAATGAAAATTTGAAACATTTTTAGGAGATTGGACAATTAAAAGCAGAGATAGAACAATTAAAGAAGAAGACTGAAGAATATGAACAGAAACAAAATCAGTCTAAGAATGTTCTTCAAGCCGTGAAGAAGAAGCTAAGTTCTCAGAACGAGGAAATCGGGAAACTGACGGCAGAGAATACGGAACTGAAACAGAAGGCCTCTGCAGAACCACCAGCTGGGGGTAAGGCAAACACTCAAAACAACACAGATTTAGACTGTCAATACGATGTTAAGTGGGCATATTAGTGGGGGGTCAAATTTTACATGGAAATCTTATGAGAAAATCTTTTTTTTAGAAAATGGCTACATTTATTTTAATTGCCCAAGCAAAGGCCTCAAGGACAAATATAGGTTAAAAGTTTAGATTTGGATGATATGTTCGAATATAAGTTCTCTTCCTTAGAATAGCAGGTCTAGAGGAGAGAAATCTTCCTTAGAAATAAGACCATAATTTCTAAACATGAATTATCAATCATCAACTTTCTGCAGCTTGAATTGATTGAAACTGAAATTTAATATATGGCCACTTTTAGAATAGGTTTCTTTGATCAATACATTTATTTTGAAGGTAAATGGTTCTCATATGATTTTTTCACACCTACAATCCAAATCTTTTTTTAGCTACAGAGGAGGCAGAGTCAAGAATGGCTGCCATGAAATCGACGTATGAAAACAGGATCAGCACGTTAACAAAGGAAGTCGCTGACAATTCCCAGCAGGTCAAAACATCAGCCGCCGAGATAGCAGACAAAAATAAACAGCTGGAACAGTTAATGGCCGAGAAGGCAGAGCTCCAAGATAAGGTAATGGACCAAATATTCCTATAGTGAAGTCCCCTCTGGATGATTGTTCAAAACAAAGTAGAGGAATTGAATGCTCTTTCTTTATGTACAGTATCACAGAATGGCTAAAAGACATGTCACAACCATCCATAATTTAGAATATTATAAACATCAGAGTTATTTGTACTATTACAGATTGCAACCATGCAGAAACAGATTGATGCCCAGCCTAAGCCAGTGGCCCCACAACCCCAGGCGGCTCGTCAGGCAGCCACGGCAACAGTGGAGAGGGCAAGGCCTGTTGACAGATCAAGGTAAACAACTTCAATATAGGTGATATCTCAGCTGTGTTCAGATTCATCATGTAACTTTTTTAAAGCATAGATAAATAAACTTGTCTTTTCTTTCAGTGTATCTGTGGCAGAGTCCCCCAAAACAGCCAACATCAAACCCATGTCAACATCTCCAGCGGCAGTACGGCCACAAGCCCCTGCCTCCCAGTCTCAGACGGCTGGGTCAAGGGTCATAGCTAACATTCGTCCAATGGCTATTGCCCCCACCAGTATATCACCGTTAGCTGTCAGTGTGCCTACCCCCACAGCAACAGTAATGCCTACCACAGTGTCTCAGCACGAAGTCTCAGATAGCAGTAAGGCTCTCCCACTCTCTAATTTAAATAAAAATGAAAAAAAAATTTTTTTGTAAGAAGAATTTATTCCTAACTTTCTATCACTAGATGAGGTGACCCAGGCCCAGCTGTCTCCTGTGATGACATCACGCCCGACCCAGCAGGTCCAGAGAGTCACGCCTCAAGTAGAGGCCTCCGCAGGTCAGTTAATTAAAAAAGAATGAAATTCTTTCCAAAAATATTATAAATTATTCAATTAGTAACCCTTATGTTAATTGGTTTTAGATTCTTCGACATCTGGTGGAGTAATCATCCAAGAAGTTCCAAGCATTCAAGGTAAACATGCTAAAATGATATTTTTCTTGGGGATAAAAGCAAGGATTGTTTGGCGATTACAGACAACTTTATTGGCTTTATAACTTTCTGTGAGTACATGTTAACTTTCCAGAACAAACAGTGACACAGTCAGAGGTAGAAGTTTCCTCTGCAGCCTCCTCAGCTGCCAGTGATAATAGTGAGAGCCAATCAACATCAGCGGCAAGGGAAGTAGCTCCATCTACTTCCTCTTCCACTGTGACAAGGGAGGTCACTCCTACAACAACTCTGGCAGCAGGAGCCAGGGATACCACCAGTGTGGCCTCTGTCAGCAGGGATACCACCAGTGTGGCTTCTGCCAGCAGGGATACCACCAGTGTGGCTTCTGTCAGCAGGGATACCACCAGTGTGGCTTCTGCCAGCAGGGATACCACCAATGTGGCTTCTGCCAGCAGGGAGGGGCAATCTCTGGGGAAACGATCAAGAGAAGAGGCTGAAGGGTACTAATCTTAACAGATTGACAGTTCTTTATCAAGAAATGAGTTTAAGTGTATAAAATTTAAATAAAATTAGAGATATTTTGAGTATTTTATATGCAGAGGTATACATGATTTTTTTCTCCACTTTTAGCAGCCAAGGAGATGAAACAGAACCAAAGAGAACCAAGGTGTCAACAGCTCAGGTCAGTTAAACAATGTCATTTACTTAGGAAATAAAATATCATTTTTAGAGTTTCATTGGGGTATGACATGAAGTCGGTCACCTGATCAAATTCTATAACGACCGAAGGGCGTTATAGTAGATTTAATTACGTACCGACTTCATGTCATACCCAGTGAATCTCTAAGAAATACAGTCAATTCTCGAATTATCGCCATTTTCGCAATACCGCCATGATTTCCCAAGAATGTTTTTCCTGCTATATAAAATTCTCTTTATAACGCCAAATTCGCATACCGCCATCCGCCACCCTGTTTTCACAACAAACGTCCATTTGTAAGTGTCAATTATCTCGATATACCGCCACAGGTGCATGTGGTCAGTGAAGTGCGGCTAATTGGTTGACAACTTTCCCTGTTGCAAAGCATGCAAAGGCAGACAAGGTACATGCAATTAAGTAATTAAACAAGAATTAAATAAACAATAATTTTAACATGAACTGTTATAATTCTGTTTCTGTTTAATAAAAATCATTTAATCACAGCTTCGCCATGAAAGCGTTCGTTGTTAAAGTACGCCGATAACGATATTATTTTGATGATCTCTGCTTTAAACAATGCAAAGTTTGTTGAAAAAATAGTTATACGGTATAAATTGTGAACGCTTCATTAAGAATGATGCCATAAACAATGACGTTATTCAAGAATTCATTTTACGTACTATCGGCAATATATCACGACGACAACCCAGCATGGTTTTTTTTTCAATATCAGACGTGCATATTAACATGCATACACATGTACTTGTCTTTAATTCATAACTGCACATTTTGTTTTAGCGAAATTGTACATTAAAAAATAACTTGAAGTATTTTCAGTCAGAAATATGTTTTTATATACATGTACATGTAATAAAAAGAATAGAAACGCTAAATGGTATTTCTAAGAAGGTACTCTACTTCTTGTTTTCTAAAAGATGGGAAATTCGATTCATCGCCAAATTCGTTATACTGCCATGATTTCTAAATTACAAAAGGTGGCGGTTTATGGAGAATTAACTGTATAGGCATTATTTAGACTTTGCTTTGGAAATGCAACATAACGTATCTACAACGTCATGTGATGTCACAATCGGAACTTTCCAAAAGGCTCGTGCAGTTTGCTTTTCTAGCTTGGTTCCCAGGCTATTTGCTTTTCATACTCAAGAAAGTCTGATCATGTGACCAACTGCATGTCATTGAAAATTGAATTTCAGTTTTATTATACCCCCCGCAAACGAAGTTTGAAGGGGGGGGGTTATAGGAATCACCTTGTCCGTCTGTCTAGCTGTCCCTCTGTCTGTGCAAACGTGTCCGGTCCATATCTTTCTTACAGAGGGACATTAGAATCTACTACTCCACACAAAGATTGCCCATGGCCTTAGGGTGTGTCATGACCTTGACCCAAGGTCATTTAGGGAAGTTCAAGTTCACTGGAAGTAAAATTCATAATTTGTGTCTGGTCCATATCTCTCTTATGGATAAATTTGGTAGGTTCTCATTTCACACAAAGATTGCCCATGACCCAAGGGTGTGTCATGACCTTGACCCAAGGTCATTTGGGTAAGTTAAAGGTCACTGGAAGGAAAATTTCATAATTCATGTGTGACACATATTTTTATTAGGAAAAGCTTACTTCTTAAAAACCCAGCGGGGGGTATTTTGTCCTGTTTGGACAGTTCTAGTTAGCATTGCTATATAAAGAAAGACATCAGCAAATGAATATATGTAAATGGCACTCAGATAGTGTTATGTTATTTATTTATTTTTACTGAATTATTGTAATGACAAGCTTTGTAATGCTATTTAGGGCTCACCGATTCCAGCCATAACAGTCACAGATGAACACGCCAACACACAGACAGTAACAGAGGAGGAGCCAGTTCTGGAACTAGGACAAGATGTCACTGAGGTCCAAACTCCACAACTCTCTACACAGGAATCAGAGGTATGTAACACTGGGTTACTCCACTTAATGGGAAAAAGGTGTCCCTCCATCACACATCAGAACCCAGGAATCGGAGGTATGTAACAATAGAAAACTCAGATTAATAGGGAGAAAAGGGGTTGTCTCTATTTGTCCCTCCATCACAACTTAGAACCCAGGAATCAGAAGTAAATACTAAAGGAACAGTCAGTTAGGGGGGAGGGGAGAGACTGAGGATCCCTCACCACAACTTAATAGTCAGATTTTTAGTGGGAGGGGGAATAACAGTCTATGAGGCAGATTAAGGCATCACTTAAATACCATCACCAAGACCACTTTCTTGAGATGGCTGTTTGATATTTCAGATATCCCTGGGACCAGCTGAGTCTACAGATGACTTGGTGGAAGATTTGTCGTCAGAACCTGCCATGCTCTCAGAGTCACAAGGACAGCAGGTGAGTTATACCCGGAACACTTGTCAATGAATAAAGCCTGAAATGGTATCTCAAATAAAAAAATGTCTTCTACTTTAAAGCAGCATCGTACCATTTTGTATTCCATGTGTAATAAGTAACACAATGTAAAGTTGAAGATACTTAAAGATTTTGT